AGTTATTTGTAGTGACAGTACCGTATCTTAAGTTATTGTAGTCACAGTACTGCATACAAGTTACAAGTTACCGTAGTGACAGTATCGTAGCGCCCCTTATTCTTAGCCACTGGATTATTAGCTTCTATCGAAGAGGATCATCCATCCTTCCCCGTCCCCCGCATCCTGGTATGTGTAAAATATTCTCCGATGAGAAGGCCTATAAGCACATTAAATATTGAAAGATAATGTGAAAGAATGTAATAAGTAAGCGAGGGGTTTAAAATTGCTTTAAAACCAGGCTGTTGTCACGGAAAGGAAAGACCACGATTCTCTTTAACTCTAAGGTTGAGAGACTGATTATCTCAACCATTCTTCTTTGTATTGGACTGAGGAAGCCACTGTTTGGCGAAACGTTTCCGTTTATCTGAACCATTTATCTATAGCCTCATAGCAAACATACATTTATAAAATAGAAACAAAATATCTGTACCAAGTGCCAGATCAACCAAGCGATGGTGGATATGTGATCCAGAGGGCCACCAGCAGCAACAGCCTGGTTGACCCGGCAAGTACCAAATAAGCCTGTCCCAGGGCCGGGCTTATGGAATAAGGAAAGCTCTCGAAACCCATAAGAAGTATATAATATATCCTATCGCATGTGGACGATACATAAAATATACATATGAAAGTTTTCCTGTGGGCAGTAGAAAATATGATTCTCTGTTGACAAAATCCATCAGCTCAGATATAAAAAAAAAAAGAAGAACTTAAAAAGGAGCACTGGATACGAAACACAGGAAGATCATCTCATTGAACGAACCGAACATGTAAAAAAATTGGGTATAATGTCAGGTGGTCTGCCAGTTAAAGAACACAAGCCAAATGCTGCGAAGGCCAGAAAAATGACAAGGTTGATAATGAGCACTTTTAAGCAAAGAGAAATAATGGCAATTATCATACTATTCAGATGATTTGTGTTCTCTCATTTATACTATTATTTTCAGTAATCTTGGCTCCGTTCAAAGCTGGAACAGATAGATCATTTACCACCCGCATAAATTTATTACTCTTTAAACTACTGGAAATGCCTCAGAGTATTTGAAATGTGATACATTTATATGATATAGATATCTCAGAGACTTTTGAGGAAACTTAAGGCACACGGAATAGGAGGAGAATTTTTTTTCTGGGTAGAGGCATGGTTGACAAATAGGCAGCAGAGAGTTTGCATAAATGGGGAGAAATCGGAATGGGGGCACGTCACAAGCGGTGTTCCACAGGTGTCAGTGTTGGGCCCCTTGTTGTTCACAACTTACATAAACGATATAGATGAGGGAATAAGTAGCGACATAAGCAAATTTGCTGATGACACCAAAATAGGCCGTCCAATTCATTCTATTGAGGACATTAGTGCACTCCAGGATGATTTGAATAGACTGATGCAGTGGTCGGAGAAGTGGCAGATGCAGTTTAATATAGACAAATGCAAAGTGGTAAATGTTGGACAGGACAATAACCATGCCACTTATAAACTGACTAGTGTAGATCTTAATACTACTGATTGCAGAAAGGATTTAGGTTGTTGGACATTAAAATGGTATAAAATACCGACAGATTGTTAGGTAAGACACATATGCAACAGTTAGGTATCTTTATTTCGAAACGTTTCGCCTACACAGTAGGCTTCTTCAGTCGAGTACAGAAAAGTTGATAGAAGCAGAAGATACTTGAAGACGATGTAATCAGTCCATCACCCTTAAAGTTTTGAGGTGGTCAGTCCCTCAGTCTGGAGAAGAGCATTGTTCCCTTTTCTGTACTCGACTGAAGAAGCCTACTGTGTAGGCGAAACGTTTCGAAATAAAGATACCTAACTGTTGCATATGTGTCTTACCTAACATTTAGGTTGTTCTTCAACTCTATATATCCTTGGTTAGGCCCCATTTAGATTATGCTGCACAGTTCTGGTCACCATATTACAGAATGGATATAAATGCTCTGGAAAACGTACAGAGGAGGATGACAAAGTTGATCCCATGTATCAGAAATCTTCCCTATGAGAATAGACTGAGGTCCCTGAATCTGCACTCTCTAGAAAGGCGTAGAATTAGGGGGGATATGATTGATGTGTATAAATGGAAAACAGGAATAAATAAAGGGGAAGTAAATAGCGTGCTGAAAATATCCAGCCAAGAAAGGACTCGTGGCAATGGTTTCAAGTTGGAAAAATTCAGATTCAGGAAGGACATAGGAAAGCACAGGTTTGGTAATTGAGTTGTAGATGAGTGGAATAAACTCCCAAGTACAGTCATAGAAGCTAAGACCTTGTGTAGTTTTAAAAATAGTTTGGATAAGCCTGACCTCAATTGTAGGCAAATTACTAGAGTCAATTATAGCTGAGATTATAAGAAGCCATCTCGATAAGCATAGCTTGATTAATGATACTCAGCATGGATTCACAAGAGGCCGGTCTTGTCTAACTAATTTATTAACTTTCTTCAGTAAAGCTTTTGAGGCTGTTGACCACGATAAAGAATTTGATATTGATAAATTAGACACATGTGCAACTCTTGGGTATCTTTATTGAGGAAACGTTTCGCCACACAGTGGCTTCATCAGTCCATACAAAGGAGAATCTTGAAGACCAGGAGGAGAATGAGGTAATCAGTCCCTCAACCTTGAGTCGATGTGGTCAGTCCATCAATCTTGAATAGAATACGGCATACGTGGTGAGAAGGAGCTTATAAACCGTTGGCAGGAGAGGTGCAGAAGTCATAGGTCGTGTAACATTTGTTCAATGGATGGACGCATTGAATACACTCGTTAATGGCTGACTAAGCTCCATCTTGCATTCCTTAAGTACCCTTGAAAACAACTCATCGGGCCCCGGGGACTTATTTTGTTTCAGTTTGTCTATCTGTTTAATAACCCTGTCCCTCGTGACAGTAATATTAGTTAACTTAAATTCATCAGGAACTAAATAATTGTTAATTACTGGAATCTCATTTACATCTTCCTGTGTAAAAACTGACAAAAAATAGTCATTAAATAAGGAACACATTTCCAGTTCATTATCCGTCAGCTGTCCATTCCCAGATTTCAGAGGTCCTACTTTTTCCTTCACCTTCGTCCTATACACTTGAAAGAACCCCTTTGGATTAGTCTTTGTTTCATTAGCAACTCTAATTTCATAGTCACGTTTAGCCTTTCTAATCTCCTTTTTTACTTCTCTTTTAAGCTGAACATATTGGTCAGTAAGGTTAACCTCTCCTCTTCTGATGCGCCTATAAATTCCCCTTTTCTCCCCTAATAGATGCTTTAGCCTTCTGTTAACCCATTTGGGATCGTTATTATTAGACCTAATTTCTCTCTGGGGAATGTATATACTCTGGGCACTGTGTACATTGAACATTAAAATGGTATAAAATACCGACAGGTTGTTAGGTAAGACACATATGCAACAGTTAGGTATCTTTATTATGAAACGTTTCGCCTACACAGTAGGCTTCTTCAGTCAAGTACAGAAAAGTTGATAGAAGCAGAAGATACTTGAAGACGATGTAATCAGTCCATCACCCTTAAAGTTTTGAGGTGGTCAGTCCCTCAGTCTGGAGAAGAGCATTGTTCCATAGTATGGAACAATGCTCTCCTCGCACCTAACCTTTTAATCATGTATTGGTCTAACCTCTTTAAACTTTCCCAAACATATATTTGTCTGACCTATTTTAAACTTGTCACAACATGTATTTTTTTGCTGTTTTATATATTCTTAACTTTCCCAAACATGTATATGTCTAACCCTTTGCTTCAGTAACTCTGTTTCAGTCTTTTCGTTCATCTACCTATCTTCCTGTTTAGGTACCGGAGGCTCGTCGTCTTCATTGCCAGGTTCTGATTCAGACATCTCTGATGGCTTGATGATATACCTTTACCTTTGACGAATTTCGAGAGTTTTTCTACTCTCGAAGCCCGGCCATGGGCCAGGCTCGCCTGGTGCTTGCCTGGTCAACCAGACTGTTGCTACTGGTAGCCCCAGCCCCACATATCCATCACAGCCTGGTTAATCTGGCAAGATGGTGGCAGCAACACGCACTCCTTTTCAGCAACTACAACCCGGCTGATAGAAAGGACTTGTTAGTTACTTTTAAAGTCATTTAAGGGTTCTGTTGTAATTACCCTTAATGTGCCAGGAGGGGAGGGGTGTTGGAATGGCTGTCACATGATGAAGAATCACACGTGCACCATCTTGGGCGTTGTCTATGTGTAGGCGTTTCGTCGTCCAGTGGCTTTATCAGTACCATACAGGGACATGATGTGAAGCATGTATATAGTTCTACATTCTTCACATAATGTATTTGTATTGTGTGGAAAAAGACACTTATGTACAGTTCAGGACATTTATTAAAGGAAACGTTTCGCCACGAGTGGCTTCTTGTCCTTAACTGTACATAAGTGTCTTTTTCCACATCTTGTCGGTATCACCATACCATTTCCTCTATTTGTATTGTACTGATAACGCCGCTGGAAGGCGAAACGTCTATAAAGATACCCAAATGTTGCACATGTCTAATTCTTTATCTTGTCGGTATTATATACCATTCATGTACAATGGCTGACACTGTTTTTCTATATATTTCGCTTAAGGTTTCCTATGTAAGGCGCAGTAAAGGCGTCTTATATAGCGTTGACATTATCAGCGATGATGCCGGTGTAGGCTAGCGGGCAGCTAATGGCAAAAGCCTGGCTGAAAGGCAATCAACCAGGAAGCCTGACGGCCAGGTTGCGAGGATACAACCCTCCACACCGTACGGGGTGATTATTACTTGTTGTCTACTTGTTGATTTCGGGAGTTATTTTCCACACGGCCAGGTTCCAGCCCAGGCCTCCTGGTTGGTGACCTAATCAGTTAAACAGTTGTTGGTAGCGCCCTTGAGTTTAGACATTGGGGATGGAGTAAAAGGTTCCTTGGTATAGCCATGGCTACTGTTCTCATGCTATTATATATATTTCCTTTTCCGTAGAAATGTCGTGGATCAAACAGCGCAGACCCTCATCTCACTCGCGTGTGTCCTCAGCTTAAAGTAAGTCGTAATGAGCAGCGTCTACACTGATGAATTGAATTCCTGTTATTTGTGCTCACACACAGTTGACTTTTCACTTGAGCTCTTTACGTTACATTACACTCTTATCCTCTCCTACAAAACATTTCTTTCCTCAGCGATGTGCACTCTTTTGTTTCACTTCTTTCCAGTATGTTCACTACCTCTTCCTTTATATCGCTAGGTGTGCTTCTTTAATGTATCCGGTGATGGTTTCATTCATGGGCCAGTAGGCTTGCTGCAGTGTTCCTCCATTCTTATGTTATTGTCCTTATTTTCGTCCCTCATGCCAGGGTTGAAACTCCACTTATCATGGTTCTGAGGGTTGGTGCATGCTCAGGATGCAGCTTTATCAGGTACTTGTTCCTCTGGGCTGGAATATTGTTCTACACTAACAGCCCTTTTAATTAATTAAGGCTGGTGAAATGGCAGACTTTAAGTATGTACAAAAAACTTTTAATGTATATATAAATTCAAACACCTAAATTACTGGTAGCTTTTCAAATCAACCAGAAGATAAATTGTCTTGTTGCACAGAATTCAACAGTTCCTAGTTTATTAATAATTTTAATAAATTGACAAATTTTTACCTTCACCTGTACTCCTTGGAATGCAAGCGAGAAAGGTAAATTACATTTTACACCTGGAAAATTCCAGAGGAACTGGTTCCAGGTCAGCACAAATTATTGAAGCTAAAACCTTGTGTAGTTTTAAAAATAGGTAGATAAATCTGTGAGTGGGTGTGAGTTGGACCTGCCTCGCATGGGCCAGTAGGCCCTCAGTAGTGCTCCTTCGTTATGTTCTTAAGTCACTCCCTACAAAAGCAAGAGGTTCAGTAGACTGTAATAATATTCCCCAGTGAAAAGAAGGGTGCCATGAATACACTGATAACACAATAAGTTTAAGAAGCCTAAGAGTGTTCAACATCCTTCTATCATACATAAGGGGATAACCAACAGACTCCTGGTTGTCTTGAGTGAGAAAGTATTAAATTCCTCATGGCAGTTCCTGATTAGTCCGGCTGTGATGCATACGTTGGATTTCGTACAGCTAGCATCACAGCCTGGTTAATCAGCGCCACAAGAACGTTGACCCTCGGAGCATTCCAGGTAGGTAGACCACCAGTGTTACTCGTGCAGGTTGGAGTTTCTTTGCATGTGTGTCGCGGTCGGTTTTTGTAAGCTTATTAAGAGAACTCAAGTGTCGGGGGTCCCCGACTTTTCAATGCCTTCCCTCTCTCCCTCCCTCCCTTCGTGCATGAGGGGAATTACCAATAAACCTCTGGCTGGCTGTCAAGAGGGAACTGGACAAGTTCCTCAATTCAGTTCTTAACCACCGGGGCTGTGGTTCATATGTTGGACTGCACGTGGCCAGATGTAACAGCCTGGTCGATCAGGCCTGACTCACTAGGAGACCAGATGTAGGACCAGGCTGCGGGTACGTTAATTCCCGAAAACATCCTTCAGGTAGAAGAATGAGAGACTTGTGTTACATTTGGGAATCTTTATCGGTGAAACGTTTGGCCAGCCAGTGACTTCAGTCCAGTACAGTGAATAACTGAAGACTGAAGAAACCACTGACTGGCGAAACATTTCTTCAATAAAGATTCTCAAATGTTGCACAAGTGTCTCATTCATCGCCTTATCGGTTTTCAAAGCCATTTTCATCACATACTTCAGGTATCCTTCACGTAAAAGACCTGGGAATAATTATGTCAGCGGACCTTTCTTTTAAAGACCATAACAAGACAGAGATCACGACAGCCAGGAAGATGACGGAGTGGGTATTGAGAACTTTCAAAACAAGGGAAATAATACCGATGGTGACACTCCTCAAATCGCTAGTGCTCCCTCACTTAAAATATTGCCGCTGAAAGCAGGAGAAATATCAGAGCTGGAACAAATGCAGAAAACGTTTACGGCTCACATTGAGCCAGTAAAGCACCTAAATTATTTGGAACTCCTTCAAGTCTTGAATATGTACTTATTGGAGCGGAGGAGAGATACATGATAATATATACCTGGAAATTAGTCGAGGGCCTGGTCTCAAATCTGCACACTGCCATAACAACATACCGTTGTGAGAGATATGGGAGGAAGTGTAAAATAAACCCAGTGAGGAGCAGGGTTGCGGTGGAGACAATAAGGGAACACTATCAACATCTGGGGTCCCAGACTTTTCAACATCTTACCAGAAGATATCAGAAACACGGCTGGGACAAGTGTAGAAGCCTTCAAGAGGAAACTGGACAAGTATCTTCACCAGGTGCCAGATCAACCAGGCTGTGATGGATATGTGGGGCAGTGGGCCTCCAGCAGCAACAGCCTGGTTGACCAGGCAAGCACCAGACGGCATGTCGTGAACCCCGACAACATGAATAACCAGGACTAACCAGGTTTTAGACTGGGCCGCATAGTGATGAATTAGACACAACTGTTGACAGTTGCACATGTGTCTAATTCATGTATACATATTTCCTAGTAATATTTACAGGCAGGCTCCCTGGCCAAGGCTCTAGTCATGTGACCTCCCCCCCCCCGTACATGGGCCGTCTCTCACAGGCCTCTGTCTCAGATTCACACAGGCTTACCAGTATACACTTCATAAGTAATAATAATATTTATTTCTGCAAGTACACATACAATGTATACAGGCCTAGCTGACATACTACTATGTAGAAAGCAGCTTGTTATGCAGAACATTTCGGGCAAATTAGGTCAGTCTTATCTGAGATGCGACCCATACCGGTCGGCTAACACCCAGGTACACATTTTACTGATAGGTGAACAGGGACAGCAGGTGTCTTAAGAAAACTTGTCCTAATGTTTTCACTCGTACCAGGGATCGACCCCCGGACCTCAGTGTGTGAGGTGAGTGTGTGACCAGTCGAGCTACTGGACACTGTTGTTTCCTTTGCTACCATCACTCTATCAAAAATCCCTCCTAACGCCACATGTGTCTAATTCATCATCAGGTCGGTAATGAATACTATTGGGAAATGGTCCCCGGGGTCATCAGCAGGTAAATAAGATGTAATAATTGGTGCCTGCCAGTTGATAGGTCTGGGGATCATCGCCTTTTGGTTGACTTTCTGATCAGTCAGGTTATTGGTGCTCTCTGCACATAATTCTACGTAGACACGACAGCTTCGTCTTGAGCAAAGTGCTCTGTGCAGGTTATTACAGGTGAGGGGGGTGAGCAAGGTAGTAGATGGGGGGAGGGATGTGTGAGAGAGGGGAACACGTCAAGAAGCGTTGTGTATCACCAGATGGACCAGTTCACCTCGACCACTCCGTAACCCCCCTCCCCTTCCTCCGCCTCCTCCTCTTCCCTTTGATAGGTCTCCAACTTCATATTACTACCCGGGAGGGTGTGGTCACTGACAGGTGAAAGTGGTTTGGCGTGAGATGTGGGTGTGGGGAAAATGCACTGGTGTGGGTAGATGTGGATATGTGGGTGTAGGAAACAGCCATTGTGTGTAGGGAGGCAGTGACAGGTGTGGGTTTGGGACAAGGCAGAGGTGGGTTTGATGAAATTATTGACAGGTGGGAGTGTGGGGAGAAAGCACAGTTTAATTTGAGGTACAATGTTTTGGGGATAGTCAGACAGTGAAAGTGTTGCGTGAGAAGGGTGTGGGAAAATGCACTAGTAGATGGTTGATACGTAAATGTAGGAAATATGCCAATTGGTGTACAAGGAGGATTGAAGTGTGATTTACGAAAAGGGTACGAGATGGTATGAGGCAGAAGGTGATGTACCAGTGAGAGAGACGTGGGTGTTAGTAGGTGAGGAGGTGCAAGGTTAATTTGAGGTAGATTGGTAGGGTAGATTGAGTGTCGTCAGCACATATTAAAACAATAGGAAGTTACAAAAGTGAACAAAAAAAACCTGTAACAGTTACTTAAAAAAGTTTTGAACAGTAAAAAAGGTAAATTAAACTATTTATGAATCGACCTACAATATGATTTATAAAGCAGCACCGAGTGCAAACATAATCTTGGGTGTAATGTAAAAGGACACAAGTGAACTAAGTGCATTTTTATGGCAACGTTTCGCTTCCAGGAGACTTTCTCACAACCATGGTTGATTAAAGTCCTGGAGAGCGAAACGTTGCCATAATAAATGTCACTGTTCTTGCAAATTGTTCCTTTTACTTAATAATACGGTAATTTACCAACTTTATTTATAATCCTGTGATAGTGAATTGAATTTATTAAACCCCGATCAAAAATTTTAAAGGACAATTATGTGCATCATAATACTTTATGATCTAGTTTACCCGAAGGGTGTTATGAAGCATTTATAATCTCCTCGTAGCCAGTTGCATAAACCAGGCTCCCATATTAACAGGCCTGGTCAGTTGTGGTTGCTACCACTAACATGCAGTTCAGTGCGAGCATCATACAAACCTTGGCAATACTCATCAAATTACTTTTGTTAGAACTTCTTAGTTTTTCTTCCCGAAGACATTTAATAAGGTTTCTGATCATTAATTGTCATTTGTTCTGATAGACGTATTAATTTTAAACCTGAAATCTTGTGATTATGGCACTTCTAGCCACTGGACCTTTATTTGACGGTAGTTTTTTTGTTCGGTACATTATTTGTTAAATACTGTGTGTGGTGTGTGTGGACTGTGTGTGATGTGTGTGTGTGTGTGTGTGTGTGTGTGTGTGGTGTGTGTGTGTGTGTGTGAATAAATAAATACACCTCCACATACCCACTTTCTTGCCTTTGTAGTATGTATGGTGTATGAGAGGTTTTAGTGATGGTAATGGTATATTAGCAATGATAATGTTGACGCCAGCAGTGTTTGTTGCGGTGTGGTGTTGGTCGCGGTGAAAATGGTGCACTTGTACTGATATATTCTGAATAATTTTACATACTTTTGTACCACTTGGTTTATATATTTCTACAGTGATTGAGGTAAGCACTATATTATATGCAGTGGAGGTAGGTCATGAAGATTGATACAACCTTGA